ATCCAAGAGTACAAGGCATACATTGTGCCCTTCATTTAGGTAAGAGACACAAAACCTCCTCTTACAACAACTTATCATTAGCATTAATTTAGCGTCACTAGTATCAAAAGAAAAATCTGTAGCACTAGTGTACACTTGTAAAGGATAATTTGGACATGATATATGCATTTAGAATATTTAAATAACTCAAATAAACAGACCACTTTGGTGGAAACTATCTATTAATCATAATTCTCAATCCATGTATTAAATGATCTCACATGTATATAATATTGAGAACTTTTTAGTGACTCCAAATAAATAGACCACTTTGGTGAAACTATTTATTGATCACAATTTCTTAGTTATACATGTTAATATGCTATAAAACACCCATAAAATTTTGATGAAAAGAAAATCGATCTATAGGCAGATACAACGATCGAAGCGGCAGATTAAAAGAGAATTTTGATTAAGGACATACTCTTTCTATGACTAATACCAAAAGGCTTGATCATAATTATCAAACTTCAACTCGATGGTATCACATTAAAATAATAAAAAATATGTCAAAGGTAAAAGTTTGGACAAGACAAGAACATTATGTTGCCTTCTGCCGTCATCGAGAGTTGGCTACAATTTATGTGATATTATTGTTTCAATTAATACTAATGTGAAAGGCCACACATAAAATCAGATGCTTTTTAACAAATTAAAGTCCTTCAGCCATCTTATTTTCGATGTCTCCTCTAATTCATTATCCAAAACGGTCGCCGGCGTTTGCTGATAGAACAATTCTTTTTTTGGGTTTTTAAAAAAAAGAGAACATCGTGCCTTCGTCTAGAATTAACAACAATCCTTTTCGTTTTAAACCCAAGATTAATTCTTGATCTTAATCCCTGACTATGATGGCTCTGATACCAACTGTAAGATAATTAAATCATAGTCATAGCAGAGATTAAGACACAATTATACAATCAATCTAGAGTTAGAATCTAAGGAAGTGTTCCATTAAACTCCATGGATTCAGCAGCGACGGCAAACATCGATTAAGCCTGAGACCAACTTCCACGATCCACTAGCTACGCGCTCTCACAACCCGGAGAACTTCATTGATGGGACGTCTACCGTTACCACATATTCAAGAGGCAGAATACGCTAGGTTTTTTTCCTAATAGCTAGGGAAAAGAGGTTGGCCTCTATTTATAAAGAGTGTCTACCCATCACAAGCCAATAGTTATTGGGCCTCACTTATCCACACACATAATATTTAATATTAGGCCTTTTATTTATCTACCACTTGGGCCACGTCACTATCCTTTCAGGCTATAACCAATTAACGTAAATCCAAATTCCAACAATACCAACTGTAGGATTATTAAATCACAGTCATAGCAGAGATTAAGACACATTTGTAGAATCAATCTAGAGTCAGAGTTTAAGGAAGCGTACCGTTAAACTCCATGGATACAACAGCGACATCAAACGACGATTAAGCATGAGACCAACTTCCACGATCCACTAGCTACTCGCTCTCATAGCCCAGAGAACTTGACTGATGTGATGTCTACCGTTACCACGTATTCAAGAGGCATAATACGCTAGGGTTTTCTAATGGCTAGGGAAAGAGGGTTGGCCTCTATTTATAAAGAGTGCCTACCCATCACATGCCAATAATTATTGGGACTCACTTATCCACACACACGATATTTAATATTAGACCTTTTATTTATCCACCACTTGGGCCACGTCACTATCCTTTCAGGCTATAACCAATTAACGTAAGTCCAAATGACACTTTTTGGTATAAAAAATTGATTATTATTTGAATTTTAAACTATGATATGATATTTTTGTCATTGAAATAACCTATCTATGAGTATTTTTGGTATATTTTAACACCACTAGTACGATATATAAATCAAATTGATTTTATAAACTTGACCTAATACTGGTATCAAAAAGATACCGATATAATACTATAAATTACATATGCAAATAATTTTTTAACTAGAATATATCTAAAGGGTCATATTTATCATTATTATTTAAATTTGAGTACCTTACCCCTAATTAAAAAAATTCACTAATAGCAAAGACAAATACAAGGTGATTTTCTAACGGCAAGGTATGGGTGGAATAAAAATTTAACAAAAATAAAATTGCTAATTTGGATAATAGTACAACAACAAATTTGAACTTTTTTCCTTTTCAAAATAATTTTAATTACTAAAAGCCTACATTAAGAGTGAGTAAAAGAAGATATCTTGTACTTTTATCCAATCTTACAGTGTACCAACGTGAAGTGGAATGATATGAAATGAAGAGAAGAAAAGCAGGCAGAAGATAACAGGCATGCGCACTGCTTCTGTCTACTACTTTAATATTTAGGATAAGTGAATAAATAGTATAAAGTTGGTGTCCTAAGGAATCTTAGGATGAAATGAAAGCATAATATTCTAATTTCAATATGTGGGCATTATTATTATTATGAGTGCATGTGTTTAGCCTTAATTAATTATGCTGGTTTGCCTTCACTCTTTTGTTGTTTTCCCATAATTCTCATGGACAATGATGATACTAATTGGTCATCTAGTTGCCTAACCTATTTTTCAAATTTCAAAAGGTAAGCTTTTCTTCTAGTAGGTGGTTGTATTCTTCATTTCTTTGATAATTAGTATTTTGACTATGGCTTGCAAATTAGAACCTTTTTGCCATACATTCTTTTCTCTCCTCCTTTTGCAACCGTTGTTGGGTTGCTAATTTTAATATGACTACAAAACAGTCACAGAAATTAAGTTATAATAAGTAGCTTTGTGATACTCTTTCTTCACATTCTTCGATTTAAGTAGAAGTGTTCCTACAATTATTTTATTGTATTTTAGAAACTTTGTTAGCCCTCAGTAAAGGTTTTTTCTTTATGAAAGCACCCTAAACCATGTTTCTCCATTTAAACTCAACCCTCACCTCATCGTCATAGCAAATAAATAAGTATTAAAGTGAAAAAGAAGCCAAGTATACAAACTTTTAGGAGAATTTCACGTGAGAACAATTATGCTCCCCACTTTCCAATTTTATAGTCCATATTTCAATTTACAATCAATTAGTCCAGAAATAATAGGTTAAGATTCAACATCCAACTCGGTTCTCAAAATTATTATTTAATTTTTAAAAAAGATTGCTCAAGCTTTTAAGTTAATTTTCAAATCAGTAACTGTGACTCAAATATTAGTTCAACAGACCAAATCCATTTGGGTGGTAAAAATTAGATTTTTAACAAGCTTAAATATGTGGGTTTAAATTCCGAATTTGATTTTGTGAGAAATTTGGAGTGAGTGTTATTTAGACTTGTTAGAAATAGTATAAGGAGGTTGTATATAAAATTTGAAGTCATTTAATGGAGATTTGGACTGGTTTTGAACAAAAATTGCAACTGAAAATCGTGGAAGAAGTTCGTCTACAGACGCTTGTATAAAGGTGTATAATAGTGTATAAGATGTGTTTATACACTCTTATACAAGATTATACATAATTATACAAAAAACTGACTTCGTCTTCTTCCTTGTGTTTTTTCTGAAATTTAACTCAAATCTTACTCAAATCTACTCCAAATCACTTCAAATTTAAACTTTGAACTCCTTTTGATATTTTCAATTAATTGGAACAACACCCAATCCAAACAATTAACAAACTCAAAAAATTCTATAAAGCAAAGCTTTGAATGACCTTTAATGGTGGACTTCTACTCTTTAATTTTTTTTTTGCATTCGAACAAGGTGACATAGGGGGAGGAGCAGTAATGGGAAACGGCCCCTTGAAGCATATGTAAAAAATATGAGAAGAAAAGAGAGTGAAAGCAATGGTTGTGAGAACACAGATTTAACTCTATAGCTTTTAGAAGCAATGGTTGTAAGAACACAGATTTTAAATTTGCTAGAGACTAGTTTTCAAAATATGTATAATATGAGTTAGGTCGGGTAAAACTTAAAAATATGGGCCATTTTTTGTTATGGTGTGAAGTCATGTATTTTTTTGTAATTCTTTCAAACTTTTATGAATTAATTTATGAATGTCAAAGTTGATTGATAAATTAGAAAAACACTGAACGCAAGTTCGTCTACCCATTGCGATAATGAGTCTAAGCTGGATCCACCAATTCGGACGTTGCTCCCACACTTTGGTCCATCCATTTCTACTCTCATAGTTCAGATCAACCAATCAGCGGGATCGCCACCCAAACAAGTTGAAATCCATTATTCATATGACTTTCAAAAATAAATAAATAAATAAATAAACAGAGCCCTGCCAAACTCCACCAAAGAATTGATTCCATCTTGACCACTAAAGTTAGGACAGAGATAACGCCCTTGAGTCTACTTTTGACTGGAAAATATTCCCACGAAACCAGGAGGAGGGAAAGAGAGTTTACAACTTCAAAATGACTTCAAATTTTAGTGACATAATATTTTACAATTTTTCAAAAAGGAGCTCTACTCAAATATCAAAATCGCTCACAATATACATATCTTAAGCTGTTAGATTTAGCACAAGGCAGTAATGGATACTACGCTACTTGTGTTATATTGGATCTACTTCGTCAGTAAGCCGATAACCATATGCATCGTGAATAACTGCCCATGGTCTGATTGTGTAATACTTATTTGTATCTTTCTTGTAATAATTTTCAAGTATAAAGAAAATAAAAATGGTTAGTTAAACTAGTTTCTGTAAAGAAAACCATCAAAAAGCAAAACAGCAATGCCGTGCTGATGACCTGCGCGCGCGTGTATATAACAAAATCAATAACCTGCAGCGGTTTAAGTGGCCGGAGTTGAGCTTCAAGGTTTCTTTGGTCTAAACTGCAGCGGAATTTGATACTTCTAATTACAATCTAGTGACTAGTGCTAAAAAGATAGCCTGTGATAATGTAATCATTTTCAGGTCAATTTTTCTAGTACTAATAACTGCAGAGGAACAAGAAAAAAGTGACATTCATTCTTGTCTTCTCAGAAAATTCATTGTAAATTTAACCTTGGAAAAAAAAATTCGAACCATGATCATATCGAAACCCAAATGGTACACCCAGCCTCAAACCGAGGAAGGCGGGACAAGGACAAGAACAATCAGCGAGTCCATTGGACTTTAAAACTGCTAATCTAGGCAGAAAGATTCACTAGAAGAGGGGAAGACGCATGCATGGCACTTATAACTTAGCTCCACAGTTATCCCAGAGAAAGCTGCCCCAATTCCTAAGGGCAATAAAAGTAACACAAAGCCAGAATATCTAGAGCAGGGAATTGACTAAAATTCTCAACTGAAGCACATCTTAATGTAAAGCTATTCAAGTGGTTCTAACCAGATGTCACATAATCTGATCGGCTAGCAATGGTAATCTTCTTTCGAGAGTCGAAATCAACCTTCTCTAAATCACTAACAGTTCCCAGATAACCATAGAAGACTCTCTTCTTCTCTCCAGTCCTATGATCAACCTTGACAAGGTCAGGGTTGTTCTCGTCATCCTTGCCTAGAGTCACGGGCTGCAGTCGAGCCCAACCTTTTCTCCCGCGGTTATCTTTCTCAAAATATTCCGCTAACCGCATGGCATCCATTAAACTTGGAAATTTAACCAGAGTAACACCTAGATGACCTTCTCTGTTATACAAGGCCTTCACCTTTCCATTGTGAAATCCAATACCTGAAAGCAAAATCGGCAATTGCAGTACAGAAACGTTAAGAGATGCAGACATAGAGCTGAAAACAAGCCTGGAGAAAGCATGACGCTGGTGTCTTATAACCAGTACCACATGCATAAATTGGTGGCAAATCCACTATCTAAAGCAAAATAGGAAAATGAAGCGTAGGAGGTGCCGAGAAAGACAGATCTAATTGTAAAAGCAACAAGCACTACAGAACAGCATTAACTTATGATCAGTTCCCCACACAAACACCGATGATAACAATGAACAAAAGGAAGTTTCTAATCTGAGATTCTCCTCGGTTTTTCCTTTCAGAAAAGGTGAAAAAGACTAGGAAATGGAAGAAGAGGGGCTGATAATGAATCCAAGAATGAAACCGTTGGCAGCGGCAAAAACCCATAGCTAGCAATACTCAATGACCAGTAAAAGTGGTATTGTAATAATACCTAGAACACCGAAAGGTTCTCAAGCTTGCAAAAAAAATGGTAACATCAAAAAGACAAACTCACTTCTCACTGAAGCATCTTCAGAAATGGATTCAAACTCAAGTTATTCATTGTAATGTGGCACTAAAAAACTAGGCACTACACCAGTCCTATGAATAAAGATTCCTCAACAGAAAAAAGACGCAAAAATTCCTCATTACTCTAAAGTATGTTGATATTCATCAATTTGATGGCAGAACCATCAGCTTTAGCACCACCAAAATGAGCACCTCAGTGGGCCCAGGTTTAAGTAGCTAGAGAAAGAGCACAAAACTACCACACACAGCGTATCCAGAACC